ACTTTGAATTAATTCTCCACTTCGAGCCATAGGGATAAAAGAAGTGGACGTGTGGTAGTAAAAGGATAGAGTAAAGGTCTGCAGTGGGGGCCCCTCAAAGCATCTGTAATGCTCTGTGCAAGATGATTGGTCTGTGAGCTTTTGCAAGAAACCATTGTCCTGGCCATGGGCACAGGCCAATGTTGCCATTCTGGCCAAAGGGCAGTATCTGAACCAGGCTCCTGGCCTCCTACGTGGGGGAGGACACCAGGAGGAGATAGATTCTCCCCCACTGGGCCAAGGTCAGTCTTTCTTTCCATTACAATCCAAGAGGCACAGGAACTGGGATGCTGGGAGAATCAAGTTAAGCCAACACATGTGTTTCAGATTAAATTCAGTTGTGAGACAAACACCATGGCTCCTCCTTTCCTCCTCCTCCTCCCAGAACCACATAGTCTTCAAGCCACATGGCACTAGGCATTGTGGACCATGCAGGAAAAGGACACCTCCCTCTTGGCGGGCTCTAGGAGTTTCCAAGGGTCCTCTCTGGTCTACCCAAGCTCCCAGGAACCTCAAGTGAATCAATCCATGGTGCCCAGAAATCCATCTCTTCACACTACCATAGGAACCAGTGCTAGGACCAGAACTCCCTGGTCCCCACTCACTCTGTGTTGGGAGTTAACTCTGGTGGACAGCCACAGTGAGTTTGGGGGAACCTGAAGCTTCTTTTTAACTCAAGTCACCTCCCCGCTGTGGTATGCTTCAGGGAATGCCAAGCCCCCTGAACTGCACACACACAAACAAGGCTAAATAGTGGTCATTGTTTGCATGGGGCCGTGACCTCATCTGTCTCTTACTTTTGCTTTTTGCTCTTTTGGCCACAGAGAAAGAGTGGGGGCTAAGGACACAGCTGTTACCCCATCCCTGCCCTCAGGCAGGACTCAGCAGGCACTAGCTTAGTGCTGCTGGGAAATGAGATCTCTGAAGTTAGCACCAGTTGATTTTGGAAAAAGTAGCAGCAAGCTGAGTGGAAGGCAAAGCTGAGCTACCAGATGACCACCTTCCAGACTTCCCCCACTGGAAGCAGCTCCCTGAAATTGTCCTTTTCCTAAGGGGATAGCCTTTTTAGGCTGCTACTCAGACCTGACCCAGGGCTTAGCTCTGTGCCTCCCCCAACCCTCCTCTATTTTTGCTTCCCACTCACTTTATTCAGAAATCTTTCCAGTGGGGTTGGGGGTAATTGGGTCCTGATCTTTGTCTGCCCACTTCCTCTACCTTCTTTCACCCATTCAGCCTGAGGGCCAAACTGCAGACACTAACATGTCTCCCACCTCTTTCTCCCCCTGGCACTCCTCTTTTCTGCTTCCTGGGGCACCCCTGCTTCTCCCAAGTCCCCCCTCCAGCCCAGAGGGAGCTTTCTAGTCTTCCCATCTTCCCCTGACATGCAAACCCTGGAGCTGCTTTACCTGTGGTTTGTGACAGCTCCACTTCCAGCCTGGGTGCCTCAGCTTGCACACAGAAGGGGGCTCCAGCAAGCAAGCTCTGGAGCTGTGGTTACTGCCTCCCAAACTCAGCCTCCAGCAGGCTTCAGATTACAGCTACTCCTTTCTTAAAGCGACCTGCACTCAATTTGAATTCTCTGATTGCATCATTGTCTGGGGTTAATTTTAACCCATTGCTGCCTTTCCACCCCAGATTCACAAGACCCTCATATTCACATAACTCTCCTCCTCCATCACATCTTCTTGGCTGTCATAACTGCCTGTTGGGATTTCCAGCAAGGTAGCCAGCCAGGGATGAGAGGTACTAGTAGTATAATAGGCACTTAAAAGATCTCGCTAGGCTCATGAGTTTACTAGGAGCAAGTTCAGAACAAGGCATCCCAGAGTCCACCATTTTTGTGTGTGTAAGTAGAGGAGCTTAGACTTGGGTACTGGGGTTTGAACTCAGGACCTCAATCAAGAGCTTTTCCTGCTCACAGCTGGTACTCTATCACTTGAACCACACTTCTACTTCTTTCCACTTTCTACTTCCAGCTTCCTTCTGGTTAATTAAGATGGTCTCCCAGATTTGTTTGGCTAGCTTTGGATCAAGATTCTCAGATCTTAGACTTCTAAATAGCCAGGATTATAGGAATGAGCAACCAATGCCTGACAGGTGCCCCATTTTTATCTGTATCCTTTGCCTGCTATTAACCATTCTCTCCTGAAGTCACTTTGAAGCCATCTTGGAAGCGAGGAACCACAGCAGACTAACAGCCAAATACTCTTATCAACTGGTGTGTGTGTGTGTGTAATGTGTTGGTACCATGACTTGAACTCAGAACCTGGAGCTCTGGCTTGGATTTTTCTTACAATTAGCTCTTTACGGGGCTGGGAAGGTGGCTTAGTGATAGAGCGCTTACCTTGCATGCATGAGGCCCTAGATTCGATTCCTCAGCACCACATAAGCAAAAAGAAAAAAGCCAGAAGTGGCTCTGTGGTAGAGTGCTAGCCTTGAGCTAAAGAGCTGAGGAACAGCGCCCAGGCCCAGAGTTCAGGCCCCACGACCGGACCCAAAAAAAACCAATTAGTTCTTTACAGCCAGGTGCCTGTGGTTCATGCCTGTAATCCTAGCTACTCGGGAGGCCGAGATCTGAGAATAGTGGTTCAAAGCTAGCCAGGGTAGGAAAGCCCATAAGACTCTTATCTCCAATCAACCATCAAAAAACTAGAAGTAAGCTGAGTACTAGTGGCTCATGCCTCTAATCCTAGCTACTTAGGATACTGAGATCTAAGGATCATGATTTGAAGCCAGCCAGGGCAGGAAGCCTGTGAGACTCTTAGCTCTAATTAGTCACCAAAAAGCCATTAAATGAGCTGTGGCTCAAGTGGTAGAGTGTCAGCCTTGAGCAAAAAAAAGTTCATGGACAGTGCTCAGACCCTGAGCTCAAAGCCAGGGGTGATGACACACCTATAACTCCAGTACTCCAGAGGCTGGGGCAGGAGGATTGGTTGTTTGAAGCCAGCCTTAGATACCTCATTGTGGAAGATACCTAGTCTCAGCTTGCCAGGCATGAGTGGCCCACACACCTATGATCTTACCTATTCAAGAGTCTGAGATCTAAGGATCATGGTTTAGAGCCAGCCTAAGTAAACAAATCTGAGAGACTCTCATCTCCAGTTAACCAGCAAAAAAACAAGAAAAAAACAAAAACAACCTAGAACTGGAGACATGTCTACAGAGTGCCAGTCATGAGCAAGAAAAGTAAACAAGCATCAAGGTCCTGAGTTCAAGCCCTAGTACAAGCACCAAAAAAGAAAAAAAGCTCAAATACCACCTCAGGACTTCTCAGGACTGGATGTAGCTCAGTAGTATAGCACTTGTCTAGTATGCTTGAGGCTCTGCCATTAATCTCTAAAACCACACAAGACTTCCCATAGTTACATAGTATCACAAAACCTGGAGAATTCCTCTTCTGACATTTCAGATCATTCTGTTTACTACATCTTAGAGCTTTGCTTTTGTTTTCTCTCTCAGAAGCCAGGCAATAAGGAACTGTTCTGTGGTCTGATGCACAGTTCAGGCTACGAAAATCCAACCATGACTTGTTTTTGGTGGGGCTTTTGTTGTTGTTTTGCCAGTCCTGGGGATTAAACTCAAGGCCTGGGCGCTGTCCCTAAGCCTCTTTTTGCTCAAGGCTAGCACTCTACTACTGGAGTCACAGAGCCACTTCTGGCTTTTCCTGAATAGTTAATTAGATATAAGAATCTCACAGACTTTATTGCCTGGGCTAGCTTCGAACTGTGAGCCTCAGATCTCAGTCTCTTGAATAGCTAGGATTACAGGTATGAGCCACTGGCACCCCACCTGTGATTTGTATTTTTTTGTTTATTATCTACATCACTCTATTACTACTTGGGCTTTCCTGGAGAACAGAGATCTTGTCTGCTTAGTTGCTTCTGCATCCCCAGAGACCAGTGTGCTGCTGGGCACATAGAAGGTGCTCAGTGAGGATCCACAAGGCAGAAAATGCAATTAAGGAAGCCAACCCAGTAGCCAAGAGAGACCATGAGGGGATAGCAATGACCCAAAGAAGTAACAACCAGACCCTGACCTGGGATCTGGGAGTAGAAATGGAAAGAAAGAGAGGGAGAAGGAAAGAAAGATAAGAGAAGCAAAATGAACAAAGTTGACTGGGTGAGTTGACCTTCCAGTGACTTTTTTTTTGGTGGTGGGGGTGGTACTGAGAATTAAATCTTCTAGTGACTTCTTATTCCTCCCACAATCTACATCATGACCCTAGAGCCTTCCACGATCTGTCCCAGAACTGACTCCCTCCTCCTTTACTGCTCCTCCCTTACAGGCTACCATCTCACCTTGAACTTGTGTGCGTGCTCAGGACCTTTGCACCAACTAGCTCCCTGTCCCTCACCAACTTCAGTCTCCTGCTCTCATGTCACCTTCTCCTGGAGGCCCTCTCTTCCAAATCTGTCACCTGCATCTCTTTCCAGGAGGGTCCACATAATCACTGCAGTCAGAGACAAGGGCCACCACAGCCAGCCATGACACTTCTCACCACAGGGACACCCACACTACCCCCATCTCATAGGCTCTTGAAGAAGAAATTGTCAGCTCCATGCCAAGATACCCCCAATAGCATCCATCAGATCCCCGGGCACTGAAAGCCTCCAGCTGCCAGCTTGCCCCTCCGGCTGACAGGCGCCAGCTCCCGGCAGGAGGGTAGGGGGTGTTCTGTGTGTAATTAGAAACTCCAGGCTCCCTAATTGCCAGTTCTTCCCCAAAACTGGGAGACTGGCGCTATTCTGAGCGGCCCTTGTTACTGGCTGCCTGAGGCTCCTAGCAAAGGACAGGCAGACGGCAGAGCCAGGCTGGCATGGAGGTGGCCCTAGAGAGGTCTGGCATGTGGCCAGAGACCAAACGTGGCACAGCAAGAGCTCAGTACTGTCTGTCCTGTGGCTGCCTCTCTGCTTCCCCGCTTCCCCCGCCCATGCCCAGAACAGTGACATCAAACCAACAGGGCCTATTCATTCTTTATTCAGGTGGCATAAAAATCACTACAAAAACTTTACAAAAGAGCTGTAAGGAGCTAACAGGGCGCCTTTCCTCCCTCAGCCCCTGAGCTACTGGCAGAAGAGGAACACAAGAGAGGAAGGCAGGGGATCCTGGCAGTGTTGGCATCTGGGGAGGCCTTAAGCAAGCTGCATCCATGTCAGGCTATGAGAGAACATGGGGCTCCATGAAGGGCAGAAGCTGGTCCTTGGTATCCAATCCTATGGCAACACTGCCTCCCGAGTCACCCCTAAGGTTTCTTTCCCGTCTTTAGCCAGGGTGTTCTCAGACATGTCCCAAGGCAGCCTGCTCCTCTTGTGCTTATAAATGTAGAGGTGTCTCATCTGCTGACTTGGGTACGAATCTAGCCTACTTCTTGCTGGAGCAGAATCCATAGATGCTCTACCACCCCACCCCAAATAGGACACCTTCTGAGCCCCTTGGGGAGAAATGAAAAGGAATCTGGCCCATGATTCCCATACCTGGCCTCCTCCCAGCCTCCAAGCCCCCAGAAGGAACTGGAAGAGAATAGCGCCTCTCCTCTCACAGACTGCCCCTGGGCCCCACCCTGCCCCCACAAAGCTGGTTGGAAAGAGTCACGTGAGTTGAGATGCTGGTCCAGGTGGGGACTTAGGATGCTGGTACTGGTGTTCCTCACTTGGGGTGGCTAAACTGGGGGTAATCCTCCTCCGAGGGCGGCACAAGTTTCAAATCAGGGTCAAAGAACTTGTCTCCATGGAGGAAGGCTTTCTGGTTCTGGATTAAGTTTCTGTCATCAGGGGAATCTTGCTGCTCCTGGAGCTGGGGCTGTGCACTAGGGTTGGGGTTCCTCACGCTGCCCACAAAGAGGGGCAGGCCTGTGGTATCCTCCATGATGAAGAAGAGGAAGGGGCGGTTCACACTGAAGGAAGAGAGTGACATGCGGGACATAGCAGTGCTGGTGGCTGCAGCTGCCTCCACGCCAGCCTCGCTGAGCTCCAGGGTGGACTGGTGCTGGACACTGGATACCACCAGCCTCTCATCAGAGATCCCACGTAGGTCTGGGGCCTGGAACAGCTCATGCAGGCCTGCCCAGAGCAGCAGATGGATGATTAGTGCTGCCCTCTGCCCCCAGGGCTCCCAGGTCCTAGCTGGTACCCTAGCCAGGGAACATCTTAAATCCACATCTGCTTAACCTTCAAATCTCCACTTAAACATTGCTTCTTTATGGGCTAGGAATGTGACTTAGTGGTAGAGTGCTTGCCTAGCATGCATGAAGCCCTGGATTCCATTCTTCAGTACCACATAAACAGAAAAAGCCAGAAATGGTGCTGTGGCTCAAGTGGTAGAGTGCCAGCGTTGAGCAAAAGAAGCTCAGGGACAGCACCCAGGCCCTAAGTTCAAGTCCCAGACCTAGCAAAAAAAAAACACAAAAAACAAACAAAAAGAAACATTGTTTCCTTTAGGAAGCCTTCCCAGATCCCAGCCTAAAAGTCTGAGGTCAGATTTGGATCCAGTACCTGTTCAATAGTCTCTGAAGTGAGCTGGAGAGACACCTTCTGTCTTATCACTTATGCTAGATTGTAAATGCCTGATTTCTCACTTGTCTATTCCATTAAATGATTACTTTGCATACAGTTGGCTGCTAGTGCCTATACAGTATGTGGAATATAGAAATTGCTTTGCAAATGGCTGACAAGTAAATGTATCTCTTTTTTTTTTTCCATACTAGGTTTTAAACTCAGGGCTTTTCACTTGCTAGACAAGTACACCACCATTGAACCATGTCCTTTTTTGCTTTAGTTATTTTCCAGATAAGGTCTTATGCTTTTTGCCTAGGCTAGCTTCAGACTACAGTCCTCTTTTCTTTACCTCTTTTTTTGGTGTGTGGGGGGGGGGGGCAGCCTTGGAGCTTGAACTCAGGGCCTGGGCCCTGTCCCTAAGCTCTTTTGCTCAAGGCTAGCACTTACCACTTCAGCCACAGCACCACATCCAGTTTTCTGGTGGTTAATTGGAGATAAGAGTCTCACAGAGCTGGGCGCCGGTTGCTCACACCTGTAATTCTAGCTAGTCAGGAGGCTGAGAGCTGAGGATCACAGTTCAAAGCCAGCCAGGGCAAGAAAGTCTGTGAAACTCTTATCTCCAATAAACCACCAGAAAACAGGAAGTGGCACTGTAGCTCAAGTGGTAGAGCACTAGTCTTGAGCTGAAGAGCTGAGGGATAGCACTCAGGCCCAGAGTTCAATCCCCATGACTGACCAAAAAAAAAAAAAAAAAAGAGTCTCACAGAGCTGGGCTTTGGTGGCTCATGCCTATAATCTTAGCTACTCAGGAGGCTGAGATCTGAGGATTGTGGTTCAAAGTCAGCCTGGGCAGGAAAGTCTGTGAGATTCTTATCTCCAATTAACCATCAGAAAACTGGAAGTGGTGCTGTGGCTCAAGTGGTAGAGTGCTCACCTTGAGGGACAGTGCCCAGGCCCAGAATTCAAGCCTCACGACTGACAAAAAAAAAAAAAGTCTCACTCACAGAGGATTTCAACCTGAGCTGGCTTCAAACTATGATCCTCAGATCTCAGCCTCCTGAGTAGCTAAGATTATAGGAGTGAGCCATGTGTACCTAGCTATCTTTGCCTCTTTTTTTTTTTTGGTCGGTTGTGGGGCTTGAACTCAGGCCTTGGGCTCTGTCCCTCAGCTCTTCAGCTCAAGGCGAGCGCTCTACCACTTGAGCTACAGCGCCACTTCCGGTTTTCTGGTGGTTTATTGGAGATAGGAGTCTCACAGTCTTTCCTGCCCGGGCTGGCTTTGAACCGCGATCCTCAGATCTCAGCCTCCTGAGTAGCTAGGATTACAGGCGTGAGCCACCAGTGCCCGGCTATCTTTGCCTCTTGTATCTGGGCTTATAGGCATACACTACCACATTCAGTAAATGCATCTCTTTAACAATGTGACACCCCATTTTCTCCTCCTTCCCCTTTCAGGAGCCAGGAGGTTCACATGCCATCATGGGCTCTCGACCTAGTATTCCTTGGAGTATTCAAGTCTTGGGCAGCAGAGTCAGTTGACAGCCTTGGGTGAGCCAGCTCACCCAAGAACAGGGATTATACCAAACCCCCTTAATCAGGACAAAGGGATATCTCTGACTCAGACCTGCTATCAGCTGGAGGCCTCTCCTCATCCACCTTTCCCAGCCCCACCCAGGGCTGACCCACCATCCTCCTTACCCAGCTGGCCGAGGGTAGCCACCAGATCTAGCTGGTGTTTGAGGTGCAGCTTCGGCAGCCGCACTTTAGTGGGCTTCTCTCGTAGTGAGGGCTGGTTCAGGGTGTCCCAGCTCAGGTTGGCCAGTACCTGGGACACATTCCACTCAAAATGAGTGGGCACCATGACCACAAAGCTCATGTTGTTCTTAAAGGGGAAATGAGCCACCTACAGATAAAGGAAAGAGAATATGAGAACCAGAAAGCACACAGACCTAGCTGGATCTGCGCTTCTGTATTTCTCAGCCGAGTAGGAATCAAGTTCACCATGATCAGTTGTGTTGCTGAGCCTTCACTTCACCTGTGAAGCTGCATAATACCTCCCTAGTGCAGGTTGGTGTTTGAATGGGATAAAGCTCTTAAAGTATGCAGCAGGATCTGCACTCAAAAGCCATGCTCAGGCTGGGAATATGGCCTAGTGGTAGAGTGCTTGCCTAGCATGCATGAAGCCCTAGGTTCGATTTCTCAGTACCACATACACAGAAGAAGCCGGGGAGTGGGGGGTGGGGAAGTCCTGTACTCGTCAAAAGCCATGCTCAATAAATAGTGGATATCTCTCTCATCTGCTCCCAGCTAGCTGTGCAAATAGGTAAAGGAGCCACCTATCTTCCTCTCAGTTCTCCTTGTGTATAATGGGTGGGGTCGTTGCTTCCCAGATTTCTCTGGAGTTCAGTGGAGGAGCTACTGCAAAGCGCAGTACCCACTCCACCCCCTCTCACCTTCACTTAGTGACTCTGCCCGCTTGCACATATCTGAGATTTGAAATTGAGTTGTTGTTGTTTTAAACATGGGGTCTTGCTAGGTACCCTCACCCCCAGCTGGCCTTGGACACACTATATGGCTCAGGATGGTCTTGAACTGCAGATTCTCCTGCCTTAACCCCCCAAGTGCTGGGATTGTAGCCATGAAAGACCATACTTAGATCATAAGATCGCATTTCTTTACTTTTTTTTTTTTTTGCCCTTCTTGGGGCTTGAACCCAGGGCCTGGGCTTCTTTTGCTCAAGGCTAGCACTCTACCACTTGAGCCACAGTACATCTTCTGGCTTTTTCTGTTTATGTGGTACTGAGGAATGGAATCCATGGCTTTATGCATGCTAGGCAAGCACTCTACCACTGAGCCACATTCCCAGCCTGCATAAGATCTCATTTGAAGGCACTCCTAAAGCAAAGTCAGCTACTTGGGCCTGCCTGCAGAATACCTGAGAAGGATGGAGAAATGGAGACAAAGGAAGAAGGAAGAGTGTGCAGGACAAGAAGAGAGTAGCAAGAAAGAAACCTGTGGGAAAGTGGACCAGTTCTCCTTTCAGGATGAGCTGGAGAGAAGTCTGGCTATCTAAGTGGCTTCTGTCTGCAGATGTGACTGTGTTCTGTCATGCTTGCCTTGCAAACCTAACCAACACTACGATCTCAGCCACTACTGATCGGCCCAGGGAGCAGTGTCCCAGCCTAACAGGACTACACTTAGGTAGTATGAAGCAAGGGAAGTCATGGGGTCGTACCTGAGAATCACAATGTTCCATGCAGAATGCGGAGAAATTCAACCCAATGGGATCCTCCCTTCTAAGAAGCTCTGTATGAGAGCTCAGGTCACATCTTCCAGGCTGAGACCCTGGGTGGCTGCATAGCTTCCAGGGTGGTTCCTGTGCTGTCTCATCAGCTACAGATCCTTTTAATAAACCCTCTGTCGAGGTCACCTTGGTCTCAACTCAGTGCCCCTTCTCCAAAGAATTCTTCCAGACCCAGACATTAAGAGGTCACTTTTTTTCCCCTTTCATGACACTCCTGACTGAAATGACTGTGATACTGTACACCTTCCCTTCTAAGACCAGGGCACTCTCTCCCTTGTGGTCCACCTAATTGCCAGTGCCTCAGACAGTACCTGGCACACAGCATACTGAGTGCACAGCCCAGAATACTGTCTTTGAGTGAATGAACCTATGGAGACTGAGCCTGGCACCTCAGAACTGTGGCTACTCCACAGGTGTCCCCTCTCTCCCTCCCCCTCCCTGGGCAATCCAGGGTAACCTGTATCTCAGGCTGTTCTAGCAGGAACCAGCGTAGAGGGTACGAGTGTGCTTGCATCATGTCTACTGGCACTGTGAACTTCTCATCCAGGTGGAAGGAGTCTCTCTCAGTAAAGCTTGGATCAAATTTGCTCTTCCAGAAACCTGTAGCCAGGAGAGAACAGGAGCCATGAAAACTAAGACCAGCCTCTTTCCCATCCCACCCAGAACTCCCTCAAGGCATGAAGAGGTAAAGCCAAGCACCCAGGGGGTAAAGCCAAGCACCACCTGCCTGCTCCTTGAAACATTTTGGAAACCTGGGCTTGGGTCTTCCCTATCTGCTGCAATGCTCCTAGTTGGAGACCTGCAAGTCCCAGTGGGAGCTATTGCAACTATCAAACTCTTGCACAAAAATCACCAGGGGAAGCCAAGCACTGGTGGCTCACCCATATAATCCCAGCTACTCAGAAGACTGAGACCCAAGGATCATGACTTAAAGCCAGCCCAGGCAGCAAAGATCATGAGACTTTTATCTCCAGTTAGCCAGCAAAAACCTGAAAGTGGAATTATGGTCCAAATAATAGAATTCATCTACATCCCCTAACTTTCTTTGTTCCAGGCTATTTTGTTTTCAACAACCTCGTGAAGTTCCTGAGCACCTTCCCATCACATGTACACACACACACACACACACACACCCGCCTCATGACCCAGCCTGAAGAAGAGAGACAGGGTCCCACTCAGCCTACAGGGTGGGGCTAGCATCACCAAGATGGGGGACTTGAGAAGAACGCACCCTGAAAATGGATGGCATTGAGGAGAAGCAACACCGTGTTTTCAGGAAGCTCAGAGAGGAAATCCTCAATCTTCCCTTCTGTGGCCTCTTTCACCCATTGGTTGATGTTCGCCAGGTCTTCTTCCTGTCTTTCCGTCAGTTTCATGGGCTTTGCACCAAACAGTTGTTTTGATTGTTCCAGGAAATTCTCTTTGATGGGAAATCCTGCACACAAAGTGTCCTGAGCTGATCCCTGGATCTGGGTTCCATAGCTACCAATGCTCCAACTGGTTACTTGAAACCAAGCCTTTCTCCCGTACCCACTCTCCATTACAGGGCACTACCTAGGCAGTCCTCTGTCATCAGCAGCTTACCCTTCTGTAGGTACATTCTGGCAGCCATTCGGAATGTTCCAGGGCTCAGGTTCTGGCACAGGTGGCTCAGTAGATGGGGAAGGCAGGGCTCTGAGTCTACATGTAGCACCTGTTGCAAGCTCCGTAGTGTTTGGTTCTGAGCACCTGGAGGGGATCAAATTGGGCTAAAGCCAGGGCTAGGGGATCTTTCCCACCCTAAGATCCACTCCAGCCTTTTTGTATATCCATGATGAGTATGCTCAGGGGTCCCCATGATCTCTCCTGAGTTCCACTTTCATCTCTGCTTGCCGACAGATTGAGCTTCTTCACCCCATTCCAATTGCCTTCCCTCTCTGGTCCTCTGTTTCCCTTAAGTCTAGTAGGAGACCTGCAAGTCCCAGTGGGAGCTATTGCAGCTATCAAACTCTTACACAAAAATCACTAGGGGAAGCCAGGCACTGGTGGCTCATGCCTATAATCCCAGCTACTCAGAAGGCTGAGACCTAAGGATCATGACTTATAGTCAGCCAAGGCAGCAAAGATCATGAGACTTTTATCTCCAGCTAGCCAGCAAAATACCTGAAAGTGAAATTATAGCTCAAATGGTAGAGTCCCAGCCTTAAGCACAAAGCTAAGCAAGAGGGCAAAGCCTAGTACCAGCACACACACAAAAATAATACTAAAAGGACTTGTGAATAAGTACATCGGACCCAATCCCTGGGAATCTGTCCTCAAAGACAGGTGTGGGGGTCAAAAATCTTGTGTTTTTTCTAATGTCTATGTGGTGCTGATAGAGAAGCCATCAGTAGTCACATCTGGAACAGTGAGTGCCCACAGGCCTCAGTTCTGCTGGACCAGTTCTGCCACAGTACCTAGGGCCAAGTGAGACAATGCCAGGGCCACACTCAGGGGTGAAAGGATGAGGTTGGGGCTGGTGGATGTTTGGGCCACCATGGAGAATAGGTCAACGGTGAAAGCCATCATGGCCTGGGCCAGCTGGCGTGTCTCCTCTGGAGTTGGGGCACCCTTGCAGTCTGCTGAGGACTTCTTCGGGGCAATCTGGTCATCAGGTTTCTATAGGGACAGATCAGGGGTCAGTGAGGTCAAAAGATCAGCTCCATGTTCTGTCAAATGTCTTCTTTATAGCCCTTGTGTTCCAGGGCAGCAGCCTATCCTGTCTATTCTGAACTCCAGAATCTCAGCCCTATACCCATGACCCCCATTCCTTGTTGATTGGCCTTCCTCCTTCTGCCCTCACCCACTCTTCCCCAGCCCCACCTGGTTATACCTGGTTGTTTGACTTGAGGAAGGCAAATGAGGGCAATGGCAACTTCTCCTGGCCCTGCTCCATAATTGGCTGCAGAAAGAAGGAAGCAGATGGAGAGTGATGATCTTCCCATAGGTCCACACCACAGGTGAGATCTGCTGCTTTCTTCTTCCCACCCACATGCCCCTCACTCCCTAGTACCTGCTGGCCCAAGGGCTCCATAGCGCTCACAGGAGAGAACTGCTGAGAAAAGGGTGGTGATTAGAAGGGGAGCCCCCTCAGAGCCTGGACCCCCCCACCTTTTCTCCCCTCAGCCCCTTTGATCACTCCAATATTTGCTACCCCCTACTCCCATCTACCAGTGTCTTCTTCAACTTGACTGACCCCGCCCTCCTGAGCCCAACCTCACCACCAAGCAGGGGCCTTGCAGGCAGGACAAGCCGAGCACCAGGAGCCCTCGGAGCAGCGCCATGTTCCTGTGTCCAGGACAGGAAGGCTCAGTTTCCAGTTACCACTCCCACACTGGATGGTGGAATCCTACCCCCACGTTCACTGACTCGGCCAATCTGTAGAAGCATGTAACACATTCAGAACACATTAGCAACTGTTCTCAGCCTGAGTAGTGGGGTTTCCCTGGTCTTTCCTCACTTTGTGGTTTGGGTTTTTCATATGTCATGGGCTGAGGCTATTTTGGTCAATAGGGAGTGGTGAGGTCCCTCATTCTTACAGACTGGTTTGAATCTCAGCTCTGCCTCTTGCCAGAGGCCCTTGGACATCTCCCTTAACTCCTCATTGCCTTATCTGGTAAATGGTGGCAGGGCTCCTACCTCCTTCCATGGATTTTGAGGGCTAAACTAAGTCTAAAAGCTGAGCAGAAGGGGCTGGGAAGGTGGCTCAGTGGTAGAGTGCTTGCCTTGCATGCACGAGGCCTGGGTTCAATTCCTCAGCACCACATAAGCAGAAAACGCCAGAAGTAGTGCTGTGGCTCAAGTGGTAAAGCACTAGCCTTGAGCTGAAGAGCTCAGGGACAGCACTCAGGCCCAGAGTTGAGGCCTACAACCACCACCACCAACAAAAACAACAACAACAACAACAAAAAAAAAGCTGAGCAGAATGTTCAATACCCAATGCCCTTAGTGAATGGTAGTTATCAGCCTAGTTCCAGGCTAGGGAAGGCAGCCACTCCAGAGCACCCATCCAACCTGCTGTCCACCTGGTCAACCTTTCTCAAGCTGGTCAGGTCTTACACATAGAGTGGGCAGGACTGTGAGGCCCTAAGGTCACTGCAAGGGTGATGGCATGGCCAGAGAGCTGCTTTGTTGATCTAGCTGCAGGGTCCAGTGAATACTTCTGGTCTAGGCACCTTTGGACTTACGGGAATCACAGGCCTGTTCAGGGAAGCCAGGCTTGTGTGTGGGGATGGGCAAGTTCTAGTCTAGCCTTGGCCTTGGCCTCAACACACACACACACACACACACACACACACACACACACACACACACACACACACACCCCTTGGCCTTGGCCTCAACACACACACACACACACACACACACACACACACACACACACACACACACACACACACCCCTTCTACCCTGCCCATCTCAAGGCCAATTTTTCTGAAGGACTGCTTTACCCACCACACCCACCACCCATCACTCACAAGGGCCCTGGGCCCGGTCTGAACTCCAACTTAGGCATTTGAATCTTTCTAGCAAAAACAAAACAAATCTTCCAGTTTGTCAGGTCCCCAGGTGGGGGAGGGGACTCCTTTTAGAGTTCCTACATTGGCTCATCATCACCCCAAGAGGCTGAGAAACTACAGGCCTAAATAAATTCATCCCAGACAATTCAGCTACATGAGCAACTCCCCATCCCTTCTGCTGTCCCAGGAGCAGGCTGAGCCGCCCTTCCATCTTACCTCTACTCCTTGCTGCAGCACTCGATGTTCCTCTGGCCCCACTTACGTGCTCCCCACGCTCTCTGCCCAGCTCCAGCCAATCCAGCCTGGCCCTCCCCTCCCACCAGGACCTTTGCTCTCAGCCAACCCCTGTTCAGCTTGCTTTCTCTGCTGGTAAATATTGACCTGCATATCCGGTTAAACATTGATACCGGGGGCCAGAAGCCCCTTTCCCACCACAGCATCTAATCTTGAAATAGCAATTCAAACCCCCCTGGATTTAGGTCCCTCCTGAACCCAGAGAAGCACACTTCAGGAGCATACAGCTGAGAAAGCTAGGGTTGGCCAGCCAAGAGGGCAGATCCAGAGATCCAGACACACAGGCTGGTTTAACATTATGCCTTTTTTTTTTTTTGGGTCTGGTCGTGGGGCCTGAACTCTGGGCCTGGGCGCTGTCCCTCAGCTCTTCAGCTCAAGGCTAGCGCTCTACCACTTGAGCCACAGCACCACTTACGGCTTTTTTCTTTTTTCTTATGTGGTGCTGAGGAATCGAGCCCAGGGCCTCAGGCATGCAAGGCAAGCGCTCTACCACTGAGCCACCTTCCCAGCTCCACATTATGCCTTTTTTTTTGTTGTTGTTGTTGCTAGTACTAGGGCTTAAATGCCGGGCCTGCACTCTCACTGAAGGCTAGTATTCTTTATGTTGTTGGTGGTAGTGATGGTTATGGAGCTTGAACTCAGGGCCTGGGCGCTGTTCCTGAGCCTCTTTGTGCTCAAGGCTAGTGCTCTACCACTTGAACCACAGCACTACTTCCAGTTTTTTTTCTTTTTGTTTTTTTTGTTGTTGGTCGTGGGGCTTGAACTCTGGGCCTAGGCGCTGTCCCTCAGCTCTTCAGCTCAAGGCGAGTGCTCTACCACTTGAGCTACAGCACCACTTCCGGTTTTCTGGTGGTTTATTGGAGATAGGAGTCTCACGGTCTCTCCTGCCTGGGCTGGCTTTGATCCTCGATCCTCAGATCTCAGCCTCCTCAGTAGCTAGGATTACAGGCGTGAGCCACAAGCGCCCAGCTTACTTCCAGTTTTTGAGTGGTTTAATGGTGATAAAAATGTCACAGGCCAGGCGCCTGTGTCTCATACCTATAATCCTTGCTACTTGGTTCAAAGCCAGCCTGGGCAGGAAAGGCTGGGAGACTCTTAACTCCAATTAACTACCAGAAAACCAGAAGTAGCACTGTGGCTCAAGTGGTGGAACATTGGCCTTGAGCTGAAGAGCTGAGGGACAGCACCTAGGCCCAGAGTTCAAGCCTCACAACTAACAAAACAAAAACAAAAACAAAAAAGTATCATGGGGGCTTTTCTGCCCAGACTGACTTTGAACCATGATCCTCAGATCTCAGCCTCCTAAGTAGCTAGGATTACAGATTTGAGCCATCGGTGCTCAGCTTTAATGCTATGTATTCTATCATTTGAGCCATTCTTCCACTCCTGGCTTTTTGCTGCTTAACTGGAGCTAAGTCTCACAGACTTTTCTTCCCTGGCTGGCTTTAAACTGCAATCCTTGGATCTCAGTCTCCTGTATAGCTTGGATTATAGGTGTAAAACACCAACACTTGGCGCTACATTATTCCTTTTAATAACCCCACAGAGTGAAGTCTTTCTTTGGTTAATCAGACTCAGATGCTATGTGACCGGCCCAAGAACACAGCTGAGTTCAGAGTCACTTCCAATGTCCTTTCCTCTCCTTAACAGCTGACCAAGGATTGGGAAGGGAAGGCTGCAGGAGCCTATGCAAAAAACCAACCTCCAGCTCTTGCAAGCCAAGGGTCCTGCCTCTGGCCTGGACCCAAGGGCAAGGGGTGAAGAGAGATGCAGAGAGATGTTACCTTTCCCAGCATCCTATCTTTTCAGGAGCAATGCACTCTGCCCTGTTCTTCATCCCCCTCCTAACTCTCCTGGATGTTGCTGAGTTTCAAGCTTCCCAGTCCTTACATTCTTTTTTTTTTTTTTGGGGGGGGGGGGGTCCGGGCGTGGGGCCTGAGCTCGGCCTGGGTGCTGTCCTTCAGCTCTTCAGCTCAAGGCTAGCGCTCTACCACTTGAGCACCACTTCCAGCTTTTTTCGTTTTGCTTATGTGGTGCTGAGGAATCGAACCCAGGGCCTCAGGCATGCAAGGCAAGCGTTCTACCACTGAGCCAACTTCCCAGCCCAGTACTTACATTCTTTTTTTTTTTTTCCTTTTGCTTATGTGGTGCTGGGGAATCGAACCCAGGGCCTCAGGCATGCAAGGCAAGCGCTCTACCACTGAGCCACTTTCCCAGCCCCAGTACTTACATTCTTAAGACAAGCCATTAGCCAGGTATGGTGGTATATACCTGTTACCCAAGCTGCTTGAGAGACTGGGACAGGAGGATACCTTGAGCCCAGCCTGAGCTATATAGTAAGAAATTGTTTAAAAAATATAACACACACAAAAAAAATAAGTTTAAAAAAGTATATATACGGGGCTGGGAAGATAGCTCAGTGGCAGAGTGCTTATCTTGCATGCATGAGGCCCTGGGTTCGATTCCTCAATACCACATAAGCAGAAAAATCTGGAAGTGGCACTGTGGCTCAAGTGGTAGAGCACTAGCCTTGAGCTGAAGAGCTGAGGGGCAATGCCCAGGCCCAGAGTTCAGGCAGGCCCCACGACCAGAAAAAAAAAAAAAAAATATATATATATATATATATATATACATGTATGCATATATATATGTATGCATATGTACATATATGTTTATATATACAAACATATATGTTTATATATATATATGTTTATATATAATAAACAAGCTTCATTCCACCACATGGCTCTTCCAAAGGATTTATTGATCATATTTACAAAGGATTTCTTGGTTATATTTACATCTATTGCAAATAGTGAGGAGGCAACAGGAGGCAAGCCACAGACCTCAGCTCTGCTCTAGTTGAGGACTCAAGAGATTCCTGGGGCTCCCTGTCCCCTGTGAGAGACCTGAGATGCAGATGATTGATTCTTCTGGTCCCTTTTCTCAGGATCTTGGACCACCTTCCTGGGCCCAGGGGCTGCCTCCTCAGCTCAAGGCACAAACACTGTGGTTAGGGAGAGGCAGGCAAGGTATAGAATCACTCCTGGCAGGGACCATCTGGCCCAGCCCACCTTCTCACCCCTGGCTCTCTCTTCTTCCCTTCCTAGTCCCCCACCAGGCAGGGCCTGGCTGGACACTTGAAACCCAGATTCCTGGGTTATGCCCAGTCTTCCTTAGCCCTCCTGGAGTCCAAGCACCATCAGTGCCCTGGACTGGGGCAGTTTCCTGTCTTTGGGGTACAGGAGCAAGAAAAGCCCAATGGGAGCTGGCAGGGCAAAACCAGTCTCCCTTCCCCTTCCTGAAGCTTCCCTGTCCTGGCAGGCAGAGGTTGGGAGAAATGGAGGTCACAATGCTTTTCTCTCTTCTCCTTGCCTCCTTCTGGCTAGGAGCAGTGTCTGCACAAGCCATGATTGAGATCCCTCTGCAGCTCTCATGGCTTTGGGAGATTCAGGGACTAGGACCCCAACTGGGGGCCCTAGCAGGCAGGCCATGTAGACACAAAGGCATGGGGCCTGGACCTGGAATGTTTTGCAGCATCAGAGTAAGGAGCTGGACTCCCAGGAGATGTCAACCTGCTCTGCCCAGCCAGCTTCAGTCTCAAGCTTTATGCCAGCAGGCGGATGACGCCATTGTCTGAGCCCAGCAGAAGGTGGCGTTTAGTGGGCAGCAAGGCCAGGCTGGTGAGTGTGCCACGGAAGTTCTCAGAACTGAGCTTTGTAGTAGCCTGAGAGGGTGGCTCCAACAGGGAGCAGACGCCAATCTTGTTGGCTACAGTACCAGTGACCACTTCGCTGCCATATAGGTCGAAGGTGTGGATGGGGTCAGATGCTGACTTGTAATGATGCGTAGGCTTCTGCTCCAGCTCCTTCCAGACGGTCAAGGAGTGGTCAGAGGAAGAGCTGACCAGGACACTGCCCTCCACTGCCTGTCAGTGGTTGGAGAGAAGAGAATCTCAGTGGGGGCCTGGACATCCTGAACTCCCACCAAGCCCCAAATGCTTCCCATTTTCCCCTATATCACACAGGAAAGGGTGACCACCAGTCAGCCGTGTCATGTTAACTACGGTTAATATTAATTAATATATAGTCATGAACCTAATCACTGCTCTGTGCTATGCTTGCCCCCTCACCACATTTGATCTTCAGAAAGACCCTATGAGGTAGATGCTACCCCTGTTCCTATTTCTCAGTAGAAAAAACAGAGACTCGGAGAAGCGAGATCTCAGAGGGCCAGCACTAACACCCAGGCTGACTGCAAGACTTCTCGACCCTTATTTGTTTAGAGACTCTTGGAACCCAGGGTCCCTGGGGCCTAGAAGGAGCTGGGGGGCAACCCACCCCGTATAGCAGCAATGCTTGCTTCCCGACCTGCACCCAAACTGCGCATGAACCCTCCTGGCCATTGCAGAGTGCCTCCCTGAGGCCTATGACTGAGGATGAGGAGTAGGAACTGGTTCCCAGACCCTCTCTGGTTTCCCCACCCCCAAACCAGGGCATCCCAGCAGAAGGCATGGACTCTGCTCAGCAGTTTGGGGGCAGTAAACAGCTTCCCAGCTGAGCTTTATTTAACCTGAACTGGGTCATGGACAGGGCCCGACCCCTGATCCTCCAAGCAAGACAAATATGGACAAGGGTTACTCATTAGAACATCTCCATGGAACAGCCGGGTCAACTCTGCCCTTGGCTCCTGCCCCCTGCCTGCCTTCTGTGAGGCCCCTACAGTACACCTGGCTCCTGAGTTGGCAGAGGAAGACCAACCTCTCTGCCCATCAGTCCCTGAGCAGGTGTGAGGGACACCAATGCAAGCCTGTCATGTGTCTATACCTCCCCCACCGCTAAGGGCCTAAAGCAGAGATAAGGGGTTGGAGTTAGACAGGGCAGTAGGCAAGAGGACTAAGCCCATCACCTTGATCTGTAGAATGTCCCCTTCATGAGCTGGCCAGCCTCGCAGAACCAGACCTGTGCGGGTGTCCAGGAGCACCATGAAGCCCGAAGAGAAACCAGCCACAACA